ACACACACATATATATAATTTTTTTTTTTTTAAAGCAAGAGGCTTGCACTGAGTGGCAGGAGCTCAGGCTGGTGCTGGAGGCCAGGACCCTGCCTCTGCTCCCAGCCTGCCACTGTCCCTGCCTAGCCCCATCTGGGAGGAGACCATCATTTGGCCCTATGGCTGCTCCCTGCCACCCCCCCAGCTCTTCTCCATCAGCCTTCTCCCTCCTGTACCTGGGAAGTCAACAATCCCCCTGCTCCCGGCATCGAAAGCTCTCAGCTAGACACCCATCTCCCAGCTGCTCAGCTCTCTCTTAAGTGCCCTGCTATGAAGCTGCAAGCCAAGGCTGCCCATGAGGCACAGGTATCTCACCAGACGGCCCCTGTTGCACCTCTGATATTCCTAGTCTCCTTTCTGCCAGAGCCCAAGCTAATGAGCTTTCCTTGATTGTCATGTCAACCTGAAGGCCACCACTGAAGTTCCTTGATACCATGACGAGTGCCAAGTTCAGGCTCAAGACTTGGCACTCACTGGCCTAACAGAAACCCAGCTAAGTTCTGAATCTGGGAGAAAACTGATACCTGGAGATAGCCACATGCAGCTAGAAAAGCCCTATTTCCTGAAATGGTTCTTACCATCTTCACATGCGTGTGTATGTGTAGGGAAGGGGTGCACGCCTGCATCTGCCTGAGCAGGGTGAATGCACTGTGACCAAGCAGCCCCAGTGCTTGCAAAAAACCACCCTCCTGCCATGAGCAGTGCCTCCTCCCTCTCTATGCTCTGCCATGTGTGCATGCCCCCCGTTTTCCTGGGTCCAACTGTCTGCATGGCTTAATCCTCACAGTAAGCTCAGGGTGTTAGGACCAATACCCACATTTTCAGATGGGGAAACTGAGGCTCAGAGAAGTGTAGTATTTTGCTAAAGGTCACAGAGCTGATAAATGGCAGAACCAGGATTTGAACTCAGATTACTTAGATTCCAAAACCAGGGCTTTTCTCCCAGGCCACTCACACTCAGCTCCCATCTACAAAATAAACGATAAGCAATCCATAGTCATCAGATTCTCCCAGAACTGATATTGTGAGTCTGTGGGCTTCAGGGAGGCAAGCTATCAAGCTGTACACTTCAGATCTGTATGCTTTTCTGGATGTATATTGTAAGTTTTTAGAGCTCTTCTTAAGTGCAGTACACTCGTAGATGTACACTAACTTCCCTGCTGACTGCTGGGCAGATGACCCTTCTTGCACATCACACAGTTTCTCCTCCTGTAGGGACTCCAGCTCCACTGGGATGGCAAACAGGAAGGGACATGTCATTTATTACCCATCAGATCATTTTGACTTTTGGCAATATGGCAGACAGAACTGAAGTCCTGCTGTCCCACCTTGCTACAAACACATAGAAATACTGGATAAAACACAACGAAACAATGAAGATGTTCTAAAAGCATGGCCAGGCTCAGTCTCAAAGGAGGCAGAAACAGGGAACTCAAAGCCAGAAGAGCAAGCAGGCACTAAAGCCATAGTAATTCCTGGGGTTTCAGGACCCAGATATAGGATCCAGGAGCTGGAGACCCAGCTTTCAATGCACATATGGAAACAGGAAATGTGCTCTTGGCCCAAGCAAGGTGGAGAAGTTGAGCAGAGTACCAGGACAGAGCCTCAAAGAGCAGCCCTGTCAGTGAAATGGAGACTTGAAAAACTTCCCACTCACCTGGAAGAGATGTAAAGGGTATGCCATCTGCCTGTGTCCATGGGAAGCAGAAAAAAGGTTACCTAAGATCACTTAAAACCTAGGCTTGGGGTCTGGCTGAATGGCTTGTTGGTTAAGAGTTGGCTTGGGAGTGCGAGCTCTGAGCAGCAGGGCCACCAGTTCAGATACCACATGGGTTAGTGACACTGCCCTCTACAGCTAAGATGGTGAACAACAACTCGACCTGGAGCTGGGCTGCCATGAGTTGCCGGCAATGGCATAGGCTGCAGTGGGCTGCCATAAGCTACCGTGACTGGCTGGCAGCCAGAGTGAGTGGCCAGCAGCCAGCGTGAGCTGCCGTGAGCGGCCATCCAATGGCTGGCAATCAATCTGCCTCAGTCAGGAAGAATGCAATGATCACAATACTAACATGGACCAGTGAAGCGACGTCCTCCACAACTAGACTGAAGAACAAAAGGACAGCAACTTGNTGTAATTTCAGGTGAGTCATCAACCTTCTCTGGGCTTCAGTTCTCATCTTAAATGGAATACCAAAAGTACTCAATACAGTGCCTTACTTAATGCTCACAAGCCCTGAGGGGGTGGTGAGGGAACCCAGCACAGTATGGCACTCAGTAAGCACTCAACATGCTTATTAAAGAAAAACTGAACCCCCACGTAGTCCACCCCTCAGCCTTGCATGTACTAGATAAGGAGGCAGGGGATGATGCACAGCTCATCTTTGCTGTCAAATACTACACAGCCCTCAAGAATGGGGAGGACTGATGACATCATGGTTTCACAGTGAATGGAAGGGATTTTGGTGGAGATGACGACTATCCTCAAGAAGGGAGGTGGAATGAGGCAGGAGGACCACGGGGACCTGCCCCTACCATGGCTCTGCTCCACCCTGCACTGGTGCGGCAGGCAGCTCAGGAGCAGAGGCTGGCTAGCCTATTTCCTCAGCCCAGGAATCCAGGAAGGGCCAGATGCTGGGTAGAGGTGCCTCTCAAGAAGGCAGCGCTGTCTGCTGTGCTCTGAGCCCCGCCCCTCAACCCCAGAGGGCCGAGCGCTACAGACTCCCATGATTTCCAAAGCCTGCCCAGGCCTCGTGCTTTTTTCTGTGGTTCTGGAGCCGCAGAACGTGCTCTCACCCACCAGGCTTCTGAACGGTTCCTTGACCAGACATGGTGCTCCTCCGGGTGTGTCTACCCAGAAAACTCCCACCTAACGTCAAGATGCCCCTCAGAGGTCCCCTCCCCTCTGAATCCTCTCCTGACCACCACTCCCTCTGTGGCCCCTTTCTGCCGCTGGCTGTCCCATGCGTGGTACAGTTGGTAGTTAAGTGCTCACACGCTCTGTCTCTCCCACAAGAACTGTGTCTTATGAATAGAAGACATGATAGGAAGAGCTGCAAAGCCAAAAGTCTGTGTTTTGCTCCTTTGCATTGCATAGTACAGGCCGCCTCCTGCCCTCAGGGAAGGCAGCCCTGCTCCCATAGCTTTAAGGAATAGGAGGGGTGCTCGTCCTGCCCTCTTACCTCCTCCAGACTCCTGCGGATGTCACCCAGCATGGAAAGCACATCTTGAGTGGGCACCACCCCTGGGGGGAGACACCATCATCAGCACAGCCTTGGCCACTGAAGTACAGCCTCTGCAGGCTACCAGCCCCCTGGGACAGCCTCTGGCCTGAGCTTCCAGAGCCTCACTCCCTGGCTCCTGACCACACACAGACCTCATGGGGCACGCATGCCCACTCTGTCCTCTGCTTGCTGCCCAGATTGACTCATTAAAAAGATTTAGTGAATGCCCACTATGTGACAGGTGTGATACCAGGCAGTCACTTCCACAGGCCCACAAGGCTGCATTCTGAATAGATCCCTTCTCAGCCCACCACACAGCGTGCAGTGCCCTTGTCTGGCACCTATGCTGAAACCACCTCTTCCTCTTCCTGTTCCCAGCATTCCCCCTCCTCCTGTCTCCAAGCTTGTGGGTACTCCCAGACCCTAAACTAGGGAGTCCAAGTTTCATCCTGTTATCCTAGAGGTCCACGTCCAACAGCTTTGGCTGTACTTTCCCACAGTTCTGCGGGCGAGTTCCCATGGCCTCCGGAAATTTCTGCTGGTTTGACCTGTCTCCCAGTGTCTTCCTGAGCCCTTTCCCCAGACATGCTAACCCCCCCCTCCTGTAGGTGCCCCCTCACTCACCCTGCTCGCCCACTAAGGTCATTAGAAGGTGCTGCTCCTTCTCATTGGGCTTGCTCAGGGAGATGTGCCAGTCCCCGTGGTGGCCGCTGCCGTGGCGGGGCAGCACCTCCTCCACCAGGGCCAAGAGCTGCAGCCCCCGGTGCTGCCGGAACACCTCCTACAGGAGCACAAAGAGAGCCTATGCTCAGTGAGGGAGACGGCTCTACTCACCCCTGCCTTTAGGCTCAGCCCCCACTCCAAACTCGGCTCAGAGGCCAAACACTGGGAAAGGTCATCTAGCTATTCCAGAGGTCAATGCTCTGGATTGCTTGAAAGGCTGTAAGCCTGGCCTTCAGGAAGGCTGTGGGTTTGTTCCCTACAGGCATCCATGTGCTTCTCTCGCCCTGGCTTTGCACCATAAGGAGGGCGTGGGGCTCGCCCAGGGATACTCCCTGTTGAACTGTGGGAAGGCACACCATATATGATGACAAGTCCAGGAAGTGGGTGTATAGCACGGGAAGGAGTACGGAAGACTGCTCACAGTGCCTGCATGTTCAAATATCGTGCTAGGGTAGGGATAATGGACCAAAAGATGTCCACAGCCACCAAAAACCAGGAGGAGGGGTGGGAAGCAGTCTAACCGCACTTATCTCTCATCTGTCTTTGCAGACATACAGCCCAAAGCTGGGGAGTCAAGAAAGATATCTGAGTGCTCCAACAGTGGTTCTGGTAACCAGAAGAACTAAAACAGAGATGGTTAAAATGGTAACCTTCCCAGAAGCAGC